TTATTTTGTATTGTATGAAATAGATTCTAGCCCCGCGCGCAGAGCGCGCGGGTCTGACCAGCGGAGCCGCTACGCGGCTCCGCAGGCTAGAGTTTAATACTAAATATTCATTTTCTTAAGGTGATAAGACCAGGTTTAATTATAATTACTATGAAATTAATCAAGGCCTCGGGCCGCCGGGGCGGCCTGGAACCCTTGGGGCGACTCGTCGCCCCGGCGGGCCTATTTATTTTTTATATCTATAAAATAGTTACGTCAGGCGATACTCACCCCAAGGGTATATATAACATGCAAGCCCGCATCTACTAGATTTATTAAAAGGTTAACCCTTTTGTTATGCTAAATTTATATAGTTGAAATAACTGTGTTCCTTTCATATAATTATGTTTCATAATTATTGAACTCAGTTATTTAAATAAAAACTAACCCTCCAGTAAAGCCCATAATTATGTATTTATAAGTAGTAATAATAAGTTATGTACCATCTTGTAATTTCTCAATGGATTAATTCCATATACTTCACAAATGTTTTACTCATATAACCATTGGTTATAAATTAACATTATGTCCTTTTTAGTAATTTTATTAACATCAATTGACATTCTTTATAATCCAAATCCTTTAGATTGGATGTTAGTGTCTAGTGATGAAGTTGCCAGAACTTTAGATATTTATTTCTCTCCAGAGGTATTAAGAAATATGAGTCGATACCAATATATTTATTACGGGAATGCTATTATTAATTATTATGAAACTAGAAATGCTACTATCTTTCTTTTTATCGCTATTTTAATATGTTATAAATAACATGTATAAACTATATCTAACTATATTTAACTAATATAATATCCACCTTATTATAAAGGTTATAACAAGGGAAAGGGGGGGAAATTAATTATTATTAGATAAAATTGTATGTTAAAAAAATTAAGCTTGCTCGTTTAACCAAGCTAAGTATTTTTCTAATGATACTGCTTCTACAGCAATAGGCATGAAACCGTGGTGTACTCCACAAATTTCTGAACATTGTCCGTAGTAAACTCCTTCTCGTTCAACTAAAACAGAAGTTTGGTTTAGTCGTCCAGGAATAGCATCAATTTTAAGTCCTAAAGAAGGAACAGCAAATGAATGAATTACATCCGCTCCTGTTACAATAAATCGAATGTGAGTTCCTACTGGAACTACAACTCGGTTATCTACTTCTAAAAGTCGTAATTGTCCATCTTCTAAGTCATCTGTTGGAACTAAGTAAGAATCGAATTCAATTGATTCTCCATCTTCGTTAACAAAATCAGAGTACTCGTAAGACCAATACCATTGGTGTCCTAATGCTTTAATAGTCATAGCAGGATCAATTACTTCATCCATTAAGTATAATAATTTGAAACTAGGGAAAGCAATTGCAATTAATACAAAAGCTGGAGTAATAGTCCAAATTAATTCAATTAAAGTACCATGGTTATGGTATTTGTAAACAATTTGGTTTTTGTTAGAACCGAAGTTTACAATAATTGAAGTTAACATCCAAGCAACTCCAAATAAAATAACTACTAGATAGAACATAATTTGATCATGTAATTCTACAATTCCTTCGAACGAAGGTGATGCACCATCTTGGAAAGTCCATTGCCAAGGCTCAGGAGCATCATTCCATACAGGAGAAATGATATTTAATGATTTAAGCATATTTAACATAAATTCTTATGAACGATATCCCTTAGATAAAATTAATATATTGTATATTATATAATATACATTGCATTAATTGATAATAATTTATTACCATCAATTAATATAATATCAGAGACAAAATAACTCTGACCCCAAAGTTTTAGATAAACCCTGGCTATACCCATAGTCTTAAATATCGGATTATGAATATCATAACTTAATTTAAGATAAGGAGTGCTAGGCGCTCCTTATCAAGAACGGCTTACAGCCGTCCTTGACAAACGGTCTTGAAATTATGAATAATAATGTTTACACATTATTATTATTACTAGTGTAGATCGATAGCATCTTTTAAGTAAGAACAAGTTAAAATTGTAAATACGTATGCTTGTAAGATAGCAATACCAAATTCTAATCCAGCTAAAGCTGTTAAGAATAATAGAGGTAATAGACTAACTAATAATAATACAGGTCCTGCAACTACCATTTTCCATGTGAATGTAGAAATAATTTTTAATAGAGAGTGTCCTGCAATCATATTAGCACCTAATCGAACACCTAAAGAAACAGCTCGAGCTAAGTAAGAAATTAATTCAATAGCTACTAATAAGAATACTAATGCTAAAGGAGTACCAGCTGGAATAAAGAATGCGAAGAATCCTAATCCATGTCGTTGGAATCCAATAATAGTAACTCCAATTAAGATAGCTGTTGCTAAACTCATAGTTAATACTAAGTGAGAAGTAGTAGTGAATGAGTAAGGTACTAGACCAACTAAGTTACTAATTAAAACAAAATTGAATAAAGCGAAAATGAATGGAACATAAACTTCGTTTTTTGGTCCAATTTGCTCTCGAACTAGATTTAAGATAGATCCGTATACAGATTCAGAATGAATTGCCCATCGAGAAGGAATAACGTATCCGTTATTTCGAGATAGAACATTCATACCGATAGTGATAGCCACTACCATAATTAAATAGAATCCGATATTAGTTAAAGATAATTTAGTAAATCCGAAGATTGGAGCTAAAATGAAAACAAAATCATTAATTTCAAATTGCTCTAGAGGGTTATTAACTAAGAAAGTTGTAGCTAAAGTTGACATTTTTATTTATTTATCAGTGCTTTTTTATCGAATCGGTACCTCTAGTCCTCAAGTACCTTGCGGCTAATTCCGTTAATTAGATTAACGGAATTGTAGAGAGAAAGGACGGATGCATAGCATCAATCCAGTTAAAACTATGATTAATCAAGGTCAGATAAACTAACCTGAATTATTTAAGTATTAACTAGACTACTACATAATTATTATATAAAAATATTTTAAATAATAAAAAGAAGTAAGGCCACCTTACTTATAATTTGTATAATCCCCTTTAATAATTAAGGGGGTGGTTATTAATTAGTTTTATATAATTTATACAAAAACTTGCAAATCTAACATTTACAAAAATTTAAGTAATAAGAATTAGTCTTGGCATATGCCATAACCCTAAGGTTAAGAGCAAAAGCCAGCGGGACTTTTTCTAAGTTAATATTATCCTCCCCACCAGTAAACACTAATGAATAAGAATAACCAAACAACATCAACAAAATGCCAATATAGAATTGCTTGTTCGAATCCTAAGTGGTGATGATCTGTTAAGTGGTATGATAATACTCGGAATAATCCTACAGTTAAGAAAATTGTTCCTACAATAACGTGAATTCCGTGGAATCCAGTAGCCATATAGAAAGTAGATCCATATACACCATCACTGAATGTGAATGGAGCATTATAGTACTCAAATGCTTGGAAACCAGTGAAAACTGCAGCTAAAGCTACAGTAGCAATTAATCCGTAAATAACTCCTGCTCGGTTACCTTGGATTAGGCTATGGTGAGCATAAGTTACAGTAGCACCTGAAGAAAGTAAAATTACTGTATTAAGTAATGGTACTTCCCATGGGTTTAGTGTTTCAATACCAGCTGGTGGCCAGTGAGCACCTAATTCTACAGTAGGAGCTAATGATGAATGGAAGAATGCCCAGAAAATACTAATGAAGAAGAAAATTTCAGAAATAACAAATAGAACAAAACCTAAACTTAATCCTTTTTGTACTGCAAAAGTATGGTGTCCTTGGAAAGTACCTTCTCTAGAAATATCTTTAAACCATAAAGTCATAGTAGAAACTAGAGAGATAAATCCAAGAGTTAATAAGAATAAACCATTAGAGTATCCTTGGAATGTCATTACTCCTGATAGAGTAACTACTAATAAAGAAAATGATACAGCAATTGGCCAAGGCGAAGCTTCAACTAAATGAAATGGATGCGCTTGAACTGATCTGTTCATAAATTTCGTTGTCATACTGTATATGTAATTCCTATCATACATTTCTTGAGGCTAATGCCCTAATACTTAGGCCCTATTGGGGCGAATATTCGCCCCAGATCAGGGCCTACGTCCAAGAAAAGTCAATAATTTATTATTGAAATAGTAATATATCTCTTTTTAATACCCTTAGGCCGCGAAGCGGCCCTGGACCATTTGAGGTAAATAATTAGTCGAGGGACCGGAGGTCCCCCACAAGAGCTTGCTACGCAGGCCCTCGCCTCAATAGGCCTACCTAATTAAATATAATATATTGAACTACTAATTGCGGATAAAAGCCGTAGTTCAATATATTTATTAATATAAGTGGGAAACTAGTTAAATTTTGGAAAACCTAGCTATCTATATCTTAAATGATATTAGATACTAATAAATTAATTTTGTAAGGCAACGCCCGTCAATCCCAGAAATATTATATATTTCTGAACAATAGTTATATATAATATATATACTATAATTAAGGTGAACCTATATTTTTAACCTTTACTTTTAATTTATCAAGTTCAGAGATTTTGCCTGGGATTCCTGATTATTTAAAATTGATACCATAACTGGGATAAAGTAATTATTTATTTGCGTTTTATTGGGCATAATTTTACTTTTTTGTAGTTTTATGAAGCTATAGGTTATAAATACTTTACATATCTGAAATATTTATATTATCAGTATATCCTTTTTATCATAATATTATTATTAATAGGTTTTCATTAAGAGTGGTGATAATTAAAAGGTCTTAGCTTATTCAAAGGCTTTGGTCATGCCAGGAGGGCGCTCCGCGCCCTCCTGGCTACTAAATTATTATAAGTAAGGCAAAGAAGGCGCGTAGCGCCTCCGGTTCGAAAAATATAAATTTAATTAGAAAATCTTAGATAGATACCGGAATCTAGTATCAGATTTTTTGTTTGTTTTAAAATCGAGGGTAAAAAATATGTCATCTTTTTAGGTATTATTAGACCAGCTAGCATAACTGGTAATGCGATAGATTGCAAATCTTCCAGATAAGTGTTCAAGTCACTTGTTGGTCTATTATAAATTTACTTAATAACTAGGAGTGCCTAGGCACTCCTTATTCCGAATGGTTTATGGTCACTTTCAGTTCGTCGGAACTTATACTATTTCCAAAGGTTAAAACTCGCTCGACGGGTTTTAGTTAAAACATTCTAAAACCTTAGGACTTTGATAGATATTAGATCTTTAAGGATTAAAGAATATTAATTAATTATTATTATATAAGTAATCAATTAATTTATTAAATATAATTTATTACAGTTGTTTACTCTTAAGTGAGTATCAGTATCTTAATTTTAAGGCATATAATAATATAGGGGCGAATACTGATTGGTCAGTGAGCGAGCTGTAAACTCGTGAGCCATGTGCTCTTTGGGGGTTCGAATCCCTCTCTCCTCATATACAATATAATAATATAAGCCTTGAGTAGAGTAAACCCTAGCAGGTTTAAAATTTATTTAAGAATAAATACTAAATATTTTTGCGGATTGGTGTAATGGCAGCATACTAGACTCATGATCTAGACGTGGTAGTTCAAATCTATCATCCGCACTATAATTAATTTAAATCCAAGCAAATTGAAGGTCAATAAATAAAATCTGAGGACCCAAGTTCCAACGAACATCTGGGAACTTTTATTTATTGTGTTAAAATATATACATTAATATAAATCTTAGGAGTTATAATAGTTAACCAAATATTAATTTTGGAGGAAAGTCCGGGGCTTAAATTTTATAAATCATAATGTAAAACATCTAATGAGAATTAGGGCAATATAAAGAAATATACTAATAAAGCGGATATTTCGCCAATAGTAGAATAATTTAACCTATGAAAAGCCAGGGCCTGAAAGCCCTAGGTTGAGGACGCAGTCTTCAATCTTTTATTTAATATAATTATATTAAATACAGATACATTAACTTAATAACAAAATCCGGCTTATTTATCTCTAAGATTTATATATTATATAAAATATACCAAGGACAAAGCTTTTGACTTAAGTTTTGATGGACTTCGGGAGCCCTTAAATTATTTATTAAAAATTCAATTTTGGTCCTTTAAGTTCTAAGGTCTTTAAAAATATTATTAAAGCCACGACAGGTGGTGTCTGTCGTCGCCCAAATGGTACAAGACGCGGCTATGCCGCGTCCCGGGCTTTATATATAAGACTTACGCTGAAAGCAAAAGGCGGCTGCGCCGCCTTTATTATATTTAAAACGAAGTTCATCTGGAATTATTATAAATAAAAGAAACAAATATTATATGGCCGGGATAATTTAATGGTAAAATGTTTATCTCATACATAAAGCTTGGAAGTTCAAATCTCCCTCCCGGTAATATTACCTTCATTGGGGTAAATATCCTGAGGTCAGACTCCTGGGCCTTAGGTAAGTTATCTATATAAAACCAAATAATTGCATTATTAAGTATCCGCTTTGCGGATACATATATTAATATAAAGCGATCTTATGGACCATCGCCAACATAGTCGGTGTTGGACCTTTTGCTTACTTGGAGAAATTGGTAAACTCTCCGAATTTAAACTTCGGTGCCGAGAGGCTTGTGGGTTCGAGTCCCACAGTAAGTATATTATTTATTGCCCAAGGTATATGTCTTTATCAGAACTTGCCTTGGCAATATAAAACCTTTAATTTAATAAAATAATGATTTAGACAAAGTTATAATAAAATATTTGGTTAACTATAAGCTCCGCGGGTCGACCCGCAAGGGGCAGCCCCGCGAGCGAAGATGGCCGAGGGCCCTCTTTGCTCCGCACTAACGTGTGAGGCGAGGGCCCGCCAAAATAATATTTTTATTTAAAATATCCGCGAAGCGGATATTTTAAACTC